TTGCTTTGGAGTTACACATTATTCAAAAATTTAATATCCTTCAGTTCAAGATACAAACAGAACTCTACTGTTCAATGGTGAAAGTAGTCCATTGGCTGAACAGACCTATGCACAGGTGTGTGTGTGTCGGGATTACTCACTGTACACAGCGCCCTCTGGTGTCTGAATATTGTTAGTGTCATAGAGTCAATGCAACAACGGAACTAATTCAGTCAAAAACTATTAATAATTTATTTATACTAAAATACAAAAATCACTATATTAGTTGTTGAAATATTTACATAATCACAATGATGTGTGGATACTCTCAACACACACACCCCCCCGAAATGTATGTATTGTTGTTATTGTTTTGATGATATAGGGCATTCATCACCACGATCAAATGATGGATGATAAATGATGACATATTATTGATCATAGATTAAGGTATAAACATTTCTTTAACTGAGCCTTCAAATCTGAACAGAAATGTATTTCCAGACTCAATATTTAATGCAATGGGTTAAGCAAGGCCAGGTATAGCTTGTTTGTCTGTTGTTTAACGCCGCACTCAGCAATATTCCAGCTATATGACGACGGTCTGTAAATTATCAAGTCTGGTCCAGACAATCCAGTGACTGACATCATGAGCATCGAATCCACGCAATAGGGAAACAATGACATGCATCAAACAAGTGACTGAGCCTGACCACCCGATCCCGTTAGTCGCCTCATACGACAAGCATAGTCGCCTTTCATGGCAAGGATGGGTTGCTGAAGACCTATTCTAACCTGGATCTTCATGGGATGGAAGCTGGTATAGCAATAGTTATAGTAAAAACAAAATTTCTACAAAATATATATTTACACTTTAATAAGACATAAAAGTAAAATATGGTTACTCCAACAGTCAAATAATATTTTGCTTGGAGCCTGATGTGATTTAAAATGTAAGATATTGGGATTAAACATCATAATCATCCTGACTTTAATCATTTTATCTTTGAATTCTACAAAATCATAAGAGAAAGTCACTTTAGGAAGAGCAAAATATATCTCATGTATCATTATGTAGTGTCTTCTACGTTTCTAATGTTTGCATAATTAGCGTGTGTCTCCATGATACGCAGATAGTGCTATCTCTTGACCACTCTGCTCACAGATGGACTCAAGGTAAGCACATCTGTGAGGTCAAGCCCTCAAAGCAAACCCACAGGTTGGCCAAGTCCACCTAGTCCAGTCATGCTCTCTCAAACGTAGCCCAAAACTGCAGGCCTAGCAGTATGGTCGCAACAAAATATGTCAACACCAGTACAAGATTTCTCGAGTCAATGCTGATACAAGATTTCTAAAGATAATGCCAGTACAAGATTTCTCGAGTCAATGTCAATACAAGATTTCTCGAATACGCCAGTACAAGATTTCTAAAGTCAATGCCAATACAAGATTCCTACAGACAACGCCAGTACAAGATTTCTAGAGTCAACGCCAGTACAAGATTAATAGAGACAACACCAATACAATATTTCTCGAGTCAACGCCAGTACAAACTTTCTCGTATCAAGTTCAGTGCCAGACTAGAAATCTTGTACAGGCAGGGAAACAACATGTACCATCCTTTAACATCTTATAGTTTCCCGTACTATGAGCTACATGTGTCACTAGCAGAGTGTACAGGATTTTACAACAAGAATATGCTTTTTACTCCACAACATCGAGATGCACAAAAAAACTTTCAGTTTCTAAAATCCTATACAACCAGCGACTGAGACATCTATTGAATTTATCATTACGAGTTCCCGCTCACAAAGACTAATGCACAGGTTTTTATAAGACAGTGATTGGCCAGTCATGTAGCCAGACATCAAACACCTATGTGCTCCTGCCTGCCTGCCTCTGCCAGCTGATGCCAGCTGAGGCCTGAGTATTCGGTCTATAAAGTCTGCTCCACATACTAAGCCCATCTCACTGGGTCATAAGAAAAACAGTTCAAAGGGAGCACCGACATACCTGCACCCATCTTCCATGCTGGTGACACTCCCAAGTCAAGTGTGAACACAGCACGGAGATGTCCTTTGTTCGAGATCAGATGGGCGATACAAGGTGTTTGCAAAAGAGAATCTTAGACTTCGGACAATGTTAATGTTGTTTCTAGGGTGTCTAAGCCGATGGTGACTTGCAGCACTTGTCAGTTGCTGTTTCCGAGTTCAGCTGTTTACTTACAAGCTGTGTTCAAATAAGGATTGAAACCATTAAGGCTTGAATACACACAGATCTTGTCCCCAATATTTTTTAATTTTGGTAGTAGTCTGAATAAAACTGTCCATTTTAACCCTGTTGTAATATATCTGCTTAATAACACCACCAGACCTTTGTTGTTTAAAACCACACTCAGCAATATTCCAGCTCTATGACGGCGGTATGTAAATAATCCAGTCTGAACCAGACAATCCAGTGATTGATGTCATGAGCATTGATCTACGCAAAAGGGAAACAATGACATGTGAGTGAGTGAGTGAGTGAGTGTGTGAGTGAGAGCATGTTTTTACACCTCTTTTAGCAATATTCCAGCGATATTAACTGGCTTCACACATTGTACCGATGTGGTGAATCGAACAAGGGTGACAAGCGAACACTTTAACCAATAAGCTACCCCACCACCCCCTTTCAAGCAATGACAACATTCTTTGATCAATTGAAGCATGTCACATTGCCCTGAGAAAATACAGTGCCTGGTAAAATAGGTCATCTCATCATATGTAGACAAACACTTAGTCTATGAAAACATTTCTTTAAACTAATTGTAATTCTTTTCTTAAAAAACCTTTCTGCTTCTTGGGCCCAAGACCCGGGTTCGATTCCCGACACGGGTACACTGTGTGAAGCCCATTCCTGGTGTCCCCCGCCTTGATATTGCTGGAATATTGCTAAAAGCGGCGTAAAACCAAACTCACTCACTCACTTTCTGCTTCTGCTGTAGACTTGGTTTAGTTTGATCTAGACTTGCCTAGGCTTTTAGAAAAAAATCATGGTGGGCTTACCATGCTAAGCGATTCAAAATATATAGGGTCTACTGATGCTACAGTTTGGTATCTTTTCAAACAAACAGGGATTACTGATATTTGATGAACGTTTAAAAACAAGCAGGGGTGAAAATGATACTTGGTGAACATTTCAAACGAAACGTGGCTTACTGATGCTGATATTTGGTAAATATTTAAAAACAAACAGGACTTACTGAAAATGATACGTGGCGAACATTTCAAAACTAACTTGGCTTACTGATACTGATATTCGGTGAATGTTTCAAAACAAATACGGCATTAATAGTGGATATGATCTTTGGAGTGAGTGAGTGAGTGAGTGAGTGAGTGAGTGAGTGAGTGAGTGAGTGAGTGAGTGAGTGAGTGAGTGAGTGAGCGAGCGAGCGAGCGAGTCTGCACCAGTTAAACTAGAGATGAGCATGACAACAATCGTCAGTCCACACCACCGATACGATGACAACCAATGATGACAACCATCCATGTCTTGGTTTCAGCTGCTCTTACCTCAAGCATGAGGTATTGGTGACTTATTCCATCCCATAATCTCACACAGTTTAAGTGACTAAGAGGCTAAAGGTCTACAGCAATAAAATTTGAATGTTTGAAGGCTTGCAAAGTGACAAGTGCCCGTGTGGGAAGAGAGAAGGCTGGCGAGATGACCCGATGGATACACCGCTATGTGACTCACTACCAGGCGGGTAGGTATATCATGTCACGCTGGAGCAGCTGGTCACAGCGTTTATAGTCTCAGCCATGACAGGCTTCGAGCAATGTCACCCAGATTACGGCAATAAATGAATGGGATCAGCACTGAGTCAGCTATCTCTGCATAACTTTTGTTTGTTTGTTGTTTAACGCCGCACTCGGCAATATTCCAGCTATATGACAGCAGTCTGTAAAATAATCGACTCTGGACCAGACAATCCAGTGATTGACATCATGAGCATCCATCCACACAATTGGGATCGATGACATGCATCAACCAAGTCAGCAGAGCCTGACCACCCGATCCTGTTAGTTGTCTCTTATGACAAGCAGAGTCGTCTTTTACGGCAAGCATGGGTTGCTGAGAACCTATTCTACTCCGGATCTTCACAGGAGCACATGTTGTAGCAGTAGATTCTGAACAAAATTTAAACAAGTAAAACTGACGATACTATACATCATTATGCAAAATTATAGAGAATATATCAACCATAACATGGTTTTAGTCAGAGAAATCAGTGGAATGTGTAGATTCTACTTCCAGAATCAACAGATTGTGGTCATGGTGATTTCACCATTATATAGCTCATGCTCTTAGTGTTTAAATGGTGCAAGTTAGGAGCACTTCAGCCGATTCACAGCCTGAAGTCACTTTTTAAATATCACGGAGCAGTGGAGTTTAATGTATAAGATCCTAATTCCACAAGTGAGGAGGTGGGGAATTAACATGTCTGACAATACTCCATCAAACAAAAACAACTTTGTGAAGGATTTTGGGGGAGGTAGGGTAGTCTGGTGGTTAAAGCAGTTACTCGTCAAGCCTAAAGGCCGAGTTCTATTCCCCATAAGGGTACAATGTGTGAAGCCCATTTTAGTGAGTGAGTAAGTTGGGTTTAACGCCGCTTTTAACAGTATTCCAGTTATATCATGGCATGTCAGCTTAATGTGGGAGGAAAGCTCGAAGTGATGCAGGTCTTAGACGTTTACCCACAAGCACAGGTATTGTCGATTCAAACCCACAATCATAGGTTTCTGGTGCGCCCAAGGACACAGCTCTGCACAGCAAATCATGGCGCCTTAGACGACTGTGCCCCCCGTGCCCCCTGAAGCCCATTTCAGGCGTCACCGAAGAGTGAGATAGTTTACTTTCACACCACTTTGAACAGTAACTCAGCTCTATCACAGCCTGTCATTTTGGTGAAACCCACAACATGGACACAGCGCACCACAGGTGTGTAGATGAAGAATGGTACATGATTGCTGCTTTACCTTGAGTGACATTTCCTTGATGACTTTATCGAAGTCCTCATCATTGCAGGACGACAGCTGCGACACTGGTACAACCTCTGCCGTCATCTGGAAACATAAAAAACAAAACACTCAAAACAAAGGCTCCAGTTATCTGTATGTACATGGCTGGATGTGGAAGTAGTTTGCTTGTAGTTGGCAACTACTGATGCCAAAAACTGACCACGTGTGATGTAACTGAAATATTCAAGGGCACGTAACTCTCCCATCCCCATGATCACTTCACCATGAGAGCAGAATATCTGCATAATTTACTCAAAACAAGTGAACATCAGAGTAAGAAAAAATAAACAAATTGATTGTTTAGGATTTTACAGACAACATGTTAGTCTACTCATCACTGTTATGGCAGGACACAAGGCAAGTGGGAATAATGGTCAAACAGTATTTGAACAGGTCTGGAAGATGAGCTCCAGTCTGAGACCTCAGCTACTAAATTTTGAATCAAGCAAAATTGTTTTCGGTCTTGTAACCTACTAAAAGTCCATATAAAAAATGTTCTGAAAATGTTTGCACACAACCTCTCGCATGAACTGCATTCAGGTTTGAATAATGTAAGAAAATTGAAGCACTAAATCTCACTCAGAAAGAAATAACTATCTTCAACCATCACAAACTTAATACACATTGTAGCTTGTTTTCTTATTGCTTATACTTCATATATGACGGCAGCCTGGAAATAATCAGAACTAGACCAGACAACCAGTGGTTGATATCATGAGCACTGGTCCTATGACGACCAAACAACCGAGTCAGTGAGCCTTACCATCCCATCCATTTTGTGGCCTCTTACAACTAGCACAGTACTGGGGACCTATTGTTGAGCCAGAATGTTGACAGGGACGTGGTACCTCGACCACTTCATTTCAAAACAAGTAATAATCTCTTTCAATTGTATTGATACACCTCTTCTTATCTCTCAACTCAAGATAAACTGAAAAGACAAAAAGTTATACACCCCCTAAATCCTTTCAGATAACAAACCTGATCATTCTCAACAAATATCCTGCTTGCTTAAAAGTACACCACAGTATTCATTCATGGATCAGCTTATTCTGGACTAGTTCTCAGCTAATCTGTAACAGGCAACAATATTGAGGCATGACGACCTGCATGTTGACAGTGCAGAGTGACACATCGCTGCATCAGACAGGTGGGCGGGTGCAGCTCTCTCCTGAAACACTCACTACTGATGCAGTGATGGGGAAACATTCATAACCATTTCGTATTAAACCATGTTGGGTTCAGATTCATGGAGATTCTCAGATCTGTGGTGAGTCTCAGATCCGTGGAGATTCCCAGATCCATGGTGAGTCTCAGTTTCCAAGGGGATTCTCAGATCTATGGTAGGCCTCAGATCCATGGTGAGTCTCAGATCCATTGTCAGTCTCAGATCCATGGTGAGTCTAAGATGCATGGAGATTTTCAGATCTATGGTGAGTCATGATCTTTGGTGAGTTTCAGATCCATTGTGATTCTCATATCCATGGTGAGTCTCAGATGCATGGAGATTATCAGATCTATGGTGAGTTACAATCGTTGGTGAGTCTCAGATTCATGGTGAGTCTCAGATCCATGGTGAGTCTCAGATCTATGGTGAGTCACGATCTTTGGTGAGTCTCAAATCCATTGTGAGGTTCAGATCCATGTAGATTCTCAGATCTATGGTAGGTCTCAGATCTGTGAAGATTCTCAGATCTATGGTAGGTTTCAGATCTGTGAAGATTCTCAGTTCTATGGTAGGTCACAGATCTGTGAAGATTCTCAGATCTATGGTAGGTCTCAGATCTGTGAAGATTTTCAGATCTATGGTAGGTCTCAGATCTGTGAAGATTCTCAGATCTGTGAAGATTCTCAGATCTATGGTAGGTCTCAGATCTGTGAAGATTCTCAGATCTATGGTAGGTTTCAGATCTGTGAAGATTCTCAGATCTATGGTAGGTTTCAGATCAGTGAAGATTCTCAGATCTATGGTAGGTCTCAGATCTGTTAAGATTTTCATATCTACAGTAGGTCTCAGATCCATGGAGAGTCTCAGATGCTTGGAGATTTTCAGATCTATTGTTACTCTACAAAGTTTTCTACTCATTGGTGTAAAATACCCAATAGACTGGACCAAAGTGAGTAAAAATACAATGAATACCCAAAGAAAACTATCAATACCCAATGTGAATGATGATGTGAGAAATACTCAAATGGCTGAAACAAATTTCTGAAGCCCTGATAAAGCATAGAAGATACAACAGTCGTAGTCCAGCGGTTTATCTGGACCTGCTCAGAGGCAGGTATTCGACCCAAATTCCGCAGTAAATGTCAGTCAAAATTCCCAATTCAATATATATAGTTATATCTAATGTTATGACTTTGTAAAGATAACTTGTTTATCACTGAGTGAGTGAGTGAGTGAGTGAGTGAGAGAGTGAGTATGGTTTTACGCCACTTTTAGCAATATTCCAGCAATATCACAGCAGGGGACACCAGAAATGGGCTTCGCACATTGTACCCATGTGGGGAATCAAACCCAGCTCTTCAGCGTGACGAGTGATCCCTTTAACCACTTTTCTACCTGACCAACCCTTATAAAGATGAAGAGGCTTTGAAGCTTCGTCTTACATTATTGCACTGAATGCAATATTAAATACCTCAATATGTAGAAAAATAAGAACTTTAACAAAATCAAAATAATTATTTTATGTCTCAATTCGCCTGCCAAGATCAGTTAGTTTAGAATCCAAGATAAATGTATCTAATGCTGAGATCGTGTTGTTGAACAAGCCCCTGAAAATTAAAAATATCGTAACTCCCATCCACATCAATCATGATGACTGTCTGCATGTCGGGTGACAATAACATCAAGTGCTCCATGCTTAAAGTCAAAATACCATATCTAATAGAGACGGCTAATAAAAAGTTGTGTTTACTGACAGGTTAATTGGTTAATTTACGTTCTTATAGACAAATCCTTACAGGTAAGCCATGGAGCTTCCACGGTAAACGGGCCTGCCTCGTCTGAGCAAACACTGCGAGCACATTCCACACTTGGCTTAATAGCCTGTGAAAACACTGATGATGTTGAAGGGTGAATAGCAGTATACAGACATACACTTTCATATTTGCAGTTGACAGATAGGTCGGCGGTTTTTGTGCAAAGTAAAACTGACGGGGCTGTCCAAGTCTTTCTAGCAGGTAAATAGTATTTGAACAACACCTTGGACGTGTGCACTTTAAGATTGAACATGCAGGTTGCTGAGTAAGGGGTTTGGTTCAGTGTAACCCATTGCATGGGTTCTCACAAGGTTATAGGACATGTGTTCGTGTATGTCTGCTCGTCTTTGGCCTGTGACTTGCAGAAACAGCACATGAAGACAAAGCGTTTAAAACTTGAAGGTACATCATTTGCAAAAGAATGGTTGATTCATCAGGTGAGGTTTCTGGAAACACAAGCATGTTTTTTGTTGCCTTATATAACATACACATTTATTCAAAGTTGAGTGTGCATAACACAAAATGAACTTTGAAAATAACGTGAAATGTTATGAATGAATGAATGAATGAATGAATGAATGAATGAATGAATGAATGAATGAATGAATGAATGAATATATTTCAACACAGACTTTAGGAACAATATCACGGCAGGAGCTTACCAGAAAAGGTGATCAAAATGATCAAAATGATCAAAATTGACTAAAGGTATCCAAATGTAAACATGGTAAATGTTGTCCCTGGGTAATTGAATCTGATATTTTTGCTTGTCCGGCAATCTCTAGTTACGACTTGGACACGTAAGGCATTGATTTTCCATAAATGGTAATCACTATTCTGTTGGAAAGTCTTCTGGGAAATAATGAAACTGAGAAATAGTGACAGGAAATCTAAAAGGAATTCTTCAAATAGTCATGAGACATGTCTTGAAGGACATCTCAAGGTGAAAATGGTTCAATATCTGATGAGTGGGTCCAAAGTTGTATTCCAGATATTTCACGGCAGGTGATGCGAGAATGGGATTCACACATCGTACATGCAACCATGTGGGGATGCAGGTGAGAAAGGTCCCCGGCACTCTATTGTCTTTTAACTAAACTGGATCAGGTGGTCATGTTACTTGGTTGATTATGTGCCATCATACACTCTGACAATGCTCGTGTCAGTTTCCGTTTGACCCAGACTCGATATCTACCGTGATAGAGGTGCAATATTGCTGAGTTCACCTGAGTGTTCTTCAAACAACAATTTCACAGGATTATCAGGTTGAAAAAAATATATTTCTATTTGAATGTGCTATCAAGGATACCTCATGGACATGAACACCTCTGTAAAAGTAAAAATACACCCTGTAGCATCCTATAGCAGAGGCTGCCAAAGCCAGTCTTTGCTTTCATGGTGTAATCTTTGACAATCTTTCAATCCATGACATATAATTCCTGTCACAATCTGTCAAAACCCACAAGTCAAGAACAAATTGACGAAATGTTGACAGACAGAAAAAACATTATCCACTGATCTCAAAGTGTAACATTTGACACAAAAGAGCAAAAGCAAACCCACTTTGATGAAGGTTTGAAACCCAGATCTGAGAGGAGATTTACAACCATCGGGATGAGGATTACGTGGCTTAAGTCTGGTTGACTTCCACCAACTTCCCCAACACCAACAAACATACCACGGAGCTCCTTCAACAAGACGAGTCAGGCTTGTTTGGTTGATATTAGTTGTCAGGAAAACGCTATTGTGAATCTGACATGATCTTCCCCAAGATATGGATGTTATTTTCTGTTGTTGGTTGTGTTCAAGAGAATACTATCTGATTATTGACAAAGAGGTATTTCTTCTGACTGATCATGTTTATAATTTCAGTTGTTAATAAATTGTGAGTTGTTTAACAAGTTTGAATTTAGAACTGATGTTTTCCTGTCAGTGAAGAAAAGACAAGTGTTGATTTCTAGCCCTTCAACCTATCAGCGCGGGAGTGAGTGAATGTGTGAGTGAGTTGGGCTTCACACAGCTTTGAACAGTATTCCAGTTATATCACGGCATGTCAGCTTAAT